GTAAGAGAGGTAGAGAGGTCATCCTATAAGAGAGGTCATCCTCATATAGAGAGACCATCATCATTTAAGATAGGTCGTCATCCTGTAAGAGAGGTCATCCTCCTGTAGAGAGATCGTCCTCCTTTAGAGAGGTCATCCTCCTGTAAAGAGATCGTCATCCTTAAGATAGGTCGTCATCCTGTAAGATACATCATCATGAAGAGAGGTCATCCTGAAGAGAGATCATCCTGAAGAGAGATCATCCTAAAGAGAGATAATCCTGAATAGAGGTCATCCTGTAAGAGAGGTAAGAGGTCATCCTATAAGAGAAGTCATCCTGTAGAGAGGACATCCTGTAGAGAGGAAATCTTGTAGAGAGGTCATCCTAAAAGGAGGTCATCGTGTAAGAGATCAAGAGGTTATCATGTAAGAGAGGTCATCTTATAAGAGAGGTCATCCTCCTGTAGAGAGGTCATCCTGTATTCAAGATTTTAATTGAGATATAGGAAAGATTTCCTATGTAGGAAAGATAGGTCATCTTGTATTCAAGATTGCAATTGAGATTCTTTACCCCAAGATAGTAAAGATAGGTTATCTATATTCAAGATTGCAATTGAGATCCTTTACCCCAAGATAGGAAAGATAGGTAATCGGCTATTCAAGATTGCAATTGGGATCATTTACCCCCAAGAAGATAGGAAAGATAGGTCATTCTGTATTCAAGATTGCAATTGAGATCCTTTACCCAAGAAGATAGGAAAGATAGGTCATCCTGTATTCAAGATTGCAATTGAGATCCTTTACTCCAAGAAGATAGGAAAGATAGGTCATCCTGTATTCAAGATTGCAATTGAGATTTTTTACCCCAAGATAGGAAAGATAGACCATCCTGTATTTAAGATTGCAATTGAGATATAGGAAAGATAAGGATAGGTCATCCTTTATTCAAGATTGCAATTGAGATCATTTAACCCAAGATAGGAAAGATAGGTCATCATGTATTTAAGATTGCAATTGAGATATAGGAAAGATAAGGATAGATCATCTTGTATTCAAGATTACAATTGAAATTCTTTACCCCAAGATAAGAATAGGTCATTGTGATTGAGATCATTTACCCAAGTATGAATTATAAATTATTTTTATTTTTCGTGGTAAAATTGTACAAAATTAAGATCCTTTACTAATTGTATGCAGTTTTGTCAAATATTCTAAAAAATTGTGGTCTTATTTAGTATAATTGTATGTTCACAATAGTAAATATGATTTCAGCAATAAAGGAGAGTGGAATATAAACACACAATAATAAATATGGTTGCATTAAAGGGGAGTGGAATTATAAACAATATGCATGGGAAAAAAATTTAAATTAAGGAAGTAAAATTTAAATTAAGGAGGTAAAATTTAAATTAAGGAGGTAAAATAAACTTGGTGTAAATATGATTGCTCGTAGTAGTAAATTATGTAAATATGATTGCAATAAAGCGGAGTGGAATTATAAACCGTGTGCATGGGAAAAAAAAATTAAATTAAGGAGATAAAATTTAAATTAAGGAGGTAAAATAAAATGGTGAAATTAGGTTATGTATTTGAAATTGAAAAATAAGTGAATTGTATTTTCAAACAAATCTAAATTGCTTTAGTTGTCAATTTACGAAAATTTTGTAATAAATAGCATGATTGTTAATCATCCTACTGACAAATCATATGCAGTGTAAAGATTTGCTGTAATGTACAGGGGGTAACGATACAATGTGAAATATTTTAATTGTTTTAATATTGTATCGGTGATAATTTTGTAAATATTGGGTGAGACTTTTACGTCGGACCCATAAAAGGGTGACGTAAAAAAGGTCTTCTACGTTGGACCAATAGAGGTCTAACGTAAAAGACCTCTTTTACATCACTCCTTTATGGGTCCAACGTTAAAAGCTGTACCAGTTTTTACGTTGGACCCCTATTGGTCTGACATAAAATACCTTTTTTACGTTGGTCCCTTATGGGTCCAACGTAAAAGTCATATTTTATTTTATTCTTACACTACTCTCTCATTTCGCACAACAAGGGTTTTTAGAATGACGATGATCAACTCCTCTTAAGGTACATTTCGACCACAGTGAGTGACAGAAATACTTTCATTGTGTCCCATTTGTGGTGGTTGACATTTTTCTCATATTGAATTCGAATTTTACAACATTTTTTGTATATTTGAGGTTAGTGTTCTATGTGTCTCGTCTCCTCTTTTATGTTGAAATTGAATGTTTCCACTAAATTGTTATTGATATTGAACTGTTGTAGTTAGTGTTTTATGCGTTTGAATCCTTCATTTTTTTGTTACAATTTTAGGTTGTTGTTGTTGTTGTTTTGTATATTAGTGTTTTATGATGAAAACAAAACGAAAAATGTTCGAAGCAAGATAACTTTTGATTCGAATGTCGGATTCGGACACACAACATACCAAAACGAAGAGAAAAAGACGAAGAAGAGGGGGCAATTCCCGAAGGGGATTTGTCCTAATAGTTTTTCCAAAATATGCTCCTAAGCACATGTAATACACAAAAGTTTATGCGGGTATAACCAGAGGTAATTGCTTTCAACATTTGTTAAGTTCATTTACCTTTGTGTGTATTGCATGTTAACTAGAATCATCAAATTAATGTTTCAAGAATTTCAATATTCATCCATCTCCACTATTAGGATATGATATTACAAAATAATAAGGTTTTTCGTTCAACATTTCTAATTTGTATTGTATTATGTACTTTAACATTTCAAGTTTTTAAAGAAAATGGAACATCTGAACTGTCTGACTATAATATATGTTTACAGGTTTTGTTTGCAAGACAAAATAAACTCAATAATAAAAAAAAGGACAAAATTTACGTCAGACGTGTGTATGTCCGACGTAAATTTACGTCGAACATACACACGTCCAACGTAAATTTTGTCCAATTTTTTAAATTTTTGAAGACTTTTACTTCTATTTTGTCATATATGCAATGATAATTTATGTCGGTCAAAAAGTCCGACATAAATTTATATCTCCCGTATTAACGTCGATCTTATATAAGACATAAAAAGTTTAAAATGTCCGACGTAAAAATTTCATTATGCACTAGTGAATTATATCAATTTTAATAGATTTATTTCATATCTAAATCTATTATTTTAAATTTTAATTCCAATCTAATTATTAAATTTTTAAATAGGATTCCATTAGTTTTTTTTTTACTAGTTTAATTCAAATATATTTTAATCAATCTCGACAGAGTGTTATGTTTGACTTGCTCAAGAGTTATACTAACAAAACATCAGTTTCTAATTACACTTTTGATTAAGTGTGTGTGGTTTAATTTTTTTAATGAAAATTAGATAATAAATAAAACTCAATTAAAAAATTACAAATTCTAAGATCTAATTAAAATAAAATAGTTTAAATACATAATTAAAATTTGATAAATAATTCAAAACCTAGAAAGTAATTTAACAATAAATAAATAAAGTATTATTATAGGTAGAATATTCTCGAATTTGCATATAAATTTTCACTCCATTATTTGGTTTGATTGTGCTTAAAAATATAATTTTACAAAAATTGATAAGTGTTTATTTATAATTTATATATTTTTCTTATTTTTTATCATTACTTATAAAATAATCTTATCTTTTATTAAATAAAATATAACTATTTTTATTAAATAAAATATAATTATTTTTATTGTCACTAAATAATAGAAGATAATATATAAGAAAAATAATTATTATAATATTATATATTTAAAAGAGGAGAAAATAATATATAAAGATTAAAAATAAAACTTATACTTATAAAGAACTGAAAAAATGTGTAATATATATAAAAGTTAAATTAAATTAAAAAATTTAATAATACAAAAAAAAATACAATCATGAAGCAAATATATTAAAAAATATGTTTTTCAATTGACTTTTTAAAAAGTAATTGCAAGTTATTTATAATTTTTTTATTTTTTTATTGTACATTTTAAATATATTTATCTAAACATGTAAAATTGTTAATAAGTAATTTTTTCATTAATTGTTTTTAAAATGTAAACAAACATATATGATATAATAAACCCTTTCATATGTTATATTTTTAATCTCTATTGGTATTTACATGTGGTTTTTATTTCAATATAATTTATGAAAGTACTTCCAATAAAAAGCAATGAAAAACCTCAGTCTATTCCCTGTAATTATCAGATTATAAATAATAAAAATACTACATAAAATAATGGAATGGAGAAACCAATATTTGGTTTGAAAAGGAGAATATATGAATAATCCAGAATAAAGTTTAAAATCATGTACTAGACATTAAATCAAATTCAAGTGACATATATATTGTCAGGTTTCATCCAGAATAACTGAAAGATACTTCTAAAATATAAAAATCTTGAACAAAAACGTCTCTACTAACTTGTTAAAACATAATTAACTAAACAGGTAGAGAAATAGCAGGATTTATGAATCTTAAAATTTACACATGTAAAAGAATGGATATGTTTTATCTAGTTGTATGGATTCACTCGGTTAAGCAGAAAGAGTGTTAGGCATTTGAGCTTGAAGATGTTTTCAAAAGTCATTTCAGCATGCACTAATTTGGTATATGACGAGGAAAAGTCGCATAAAAGTGCTACAAAAATATTAATCTATTAAATAAAGATATTCATGTACCTCTGAGCAAGTTTCATGAAACTACAATTACCAGAAAAAAAAAATTACTGTCATTAAATTCTCATATGGAGAAGTCCTGTACATTATGTCTGTCAACTTCAGAATGTAATAAAGTCAGAAGGGAGAAGCATAAATTTTCAAAAGTCAAAACTTTGTTATGACAACTAACTTATAAAATTCCTAGAATAAAAGACCACTACGAATTAATATAATCTAAAGGCTTGTCAATACTTTCATTGACACAAGAATATCCATTCAAATTCTATTCTTCTATTGAATATGGAGTCCCATGACCCCAGCTGCAAGTAGTATTGAATGCTGTCTTAAAGTGTGAGGGTGTCTTTTCTTTTCCATTTCCTTTGTGTTTGCAAGAATTTATTAGATAAAGATTCCACTGCTCTAAGTGTCAATGGTCTGTTTCTGGTGCTCCTCCTTGGAATTATATTTTTTGGTTCCAAGTCCTGTCCATCTTTCTCAGATGTCGCTGTCATTTCAGTATCTTCAGACTTCAGAACAACTTGAGGTTCATTGAAGTTGATGGAATGTTGTGGTTCAAATTTCTCAACTATGTCACAAGAAATGCCTTTGTTAAGACAAACTCTACTTGTATTTCTTCTTTCGTTTTTTAATTCCGCACTTCCTTCAACTGAAAAAGAAACATAAGTGACATCCGGCTGATGACCAAATGAATTACCGGCTTTCTTGTTGGCATCTGGATTGCATGATGACTGAGAGTGTTCCAGTTTCTCTGATCCTGAGCTTCCTGAGGAGTTCTCAAACATGTGCCCTATCTCAACCTTTTTTTGCCGTTTGTCTTCAGACATACAGGTCTTCTGATTTTCACAGTTTTCTGTCATCTTGTTTGAATCATCATTTTCAGCTTTAACATTCACTTCTTTTTGGCCAGAATAATTTCTATTGCGTTTACCTTTGCATTTACCTTTACCAGCATTACTGTTATTCTCTCTGCTGTATACAATACTAGCTTCTGTCTCACATGACGAAATGTTGTCAACCTTACCTCTCCTGTGGTTAGTTTTACTAGTAAGTTTGTTCTCTTTATTACATGCTACATCATCAGCATCCACCTCAACTTTACCCGCCAAATTGTCTGGTAAGGATTGTGATTTCCTTAAATCAGATGAATTCTCCCTGTACACAAAACTAGTACAAGAAACTGTAGACTTCATATGCTCTAAGTTGTTAGTAGAAACTTGGTGCTTGAAGTAACAATGGTGATGGTTATCAGGTTCACCATCCTCGTTAGATCCTTTTTCTGCCTTTTCTGTCTCTCTCTCGTTGCAGCCACCAACTTTAGTTTTTATAACTTCCAGGTTAAGAAGATTTGGTTCATCTATCACTTTTCTCAAGACCTCACTGACAGAATCAAAGTAATGATCACCTTTTACAAGTTTTCTCCTTGAAAACTTCTTGACACCAGGGAGAAGAAAGACCACAAAATTTTTTGAGCTAAGAGGGCCTTGATACTTTAGTTTCTCTGAGTGCCAACCTCTTGCCAGTAAGCGTGGCCAAACAGCCTCCCAGAATATATCATAACTATTGCCTTTGCTCAATTGATATCCTCCAGTCAAATGTTTGATTATATCACAGGGCCCAAGAGAAGACCAAGGTTTGCTAGTTTGTATAGAACAAGCCTGGATTTTCTTCCCACGTTCTATGGTCGGGCTGGTAAGGTCTTCCTTCCCCTTACCAATTCCTATAGCTTCCACAAGAACACCAAGTCCAACAGTAGACTTCAAATAAGAGATATATTCTTCTAGAGAAGTTCTTCCCTCCAAATAGGATTTGGAAACCTGATTATAGACATGAGCAAAGTGAGGAGCCAAGGGAATGAGGGTTCATAATTGACGATAAAGGTCCAAGAAATATCACTGGTCCATAAATCAAATATTTTGTGTAACCATTTCATCTAACATAAGAAGCATTTCATATTTAAGCAAATAAAATCCATAGTAACTTAATGAGGTTTGAAAGTTCTGAGGATTAATCAGATAAGGAAAATGCAGACTAGATAACCCATATTAAAAGGACCAATTTTATCCCTAATACATGTGATCAAGTCGTGGAACCATGCCAGGATTCCTTGCATAGAATTCTTTTTTAAAGCCAATCAAAATGAACAAGTAGTGTAGCCACTAAGAAAGACTCTTATTGCTGATGGCTTCTATTCTACATATTGAATAATCACAAAAATTATCCTTAGCAAAATTATTATTCAGTCACACAAAAAAAAAAAAAAAAAAAGGGAATTAAAAGTAGGCTGTCTATAAAATTACAGGAGAATAAAATATTACTGAGATCATAGAATGCGTTGACACAAGCTAAGCCAAGCTAATCATCAGTAGCTGAAAAATACATATTGCAGTTCATCAAGCAGAAGGGACAGTAAGAGAAAGCAAGGCTGAATACCTGTTGCAAAGCATCTTTAAATTCTTCTGAGACACGGAAAATCAACCGAGACAATAGTTCACGATGCTTCTGACCAGAAAAAAGCTTGTGTCCTGTTATACATTTTCTCCCTTTTAATTTCTTACAGTCTGACCATCTACGATATTCATCGGACTTATAAAACTTTCCATAGTAAAATGACAGTATTTCCCCCATCTCTTTGTTCTCTAGAAATCTTTTAATCTGAACAAAATTTTTCCCAAAGATAAATAAACCAAGGAGAAAACTTTTTACATCAGCATCACTCCACGAGTTATTCAAATTAGCTTCTGCTACTGGTACAAGCATATTGTCTGCACCATCATTGTCTCCAAGATATCTCCCTCCTTCATGTCCATTATCCTCCATTTCATCATGTACAAGTTCTGAATCAGCAGGATTTAAAAGTTTAAGCCGTTCTGATTCTTTTATCATGGGAGGAACTTCCACCTGGTATTCATGACCAATTCGAGGACTTGACTTTGGGGCTCCAACTATGTAGCTTATATCAGGAGAACTTGAAGGAATTAACTTCCTTTTAGATCCACGCTCCATAATATTGCTATAATCCTGTCCAATTGATTCCACCTGCCAAGCAGTATAGGCTGTTAAACTCATACTATAACTCAATCAACACTTGAAGTATTATATAGAAAATGTAGATTAGGAACATGCTCAAGAACATGACTAAAACGCACTAATAAGAAATAAAACATCTCTAGCACCACACTGGTAGATTTGAAAGGAAACACAAAAGATCAGAGTTTTAGCACTTTGCTGAATCAATTCAAACTAGTCAAATGTAAAACTTTTAATATAAATAGTAAACATGTCAAGTGAGAAATGAGAGTGCCAATTTCAATCATAGAATTAAATTGGATGGTTAAAATTAGAACTCACAGAATAGTGTTAATCATTGATGTATAGTTCTATAGTCAAAATTAACTTACACACAAAGACGCAAGTACATTATACACTCATATACATACACACTCTTCCGCAATCTGCAGTAGGTTGATTGTCCAGTGATGCTTTTGGAGGTCAATGTATTGTACAGGATTATAATACAAGTAATAGGGAGCAACTTTTGGGGACGGAATTTTTCACGTATCATAATTCAAAAACTTGATTTTTTTCTGATCCAAGGTAATGAAAACCTAGCTCAAATTAAATTCATCAATTGCTAGCAACAAAATTCTGAACAATGGCTCCAATTGCACTCACAGAAAACCCTATCATTCTATTTGACACTGCTTCAGAATATGATCACATTATATAACAACCACCGTTTATGCGATCTTAGCAGGCGGATACCCTTTTATGAAAAATGATACCAATGAACAGAATTTTGATTACCAACCAACTATAAGATAACAAACCCCATATCCTCTAACAGGTAAGTTCTTGATCAAAGCTAACAAGTTGGTTTTTGATTAAATAATTCAATATACAACGAACACACGCAGACGTGTATGACTAAGAAAAAGTATATGGAATCATAGAAACCCGAAAATAACTAGTACGATGACACACAGATTGAGCACAACCCCACATGAGATCACAGCCATATGATGCTAGCAATCAATGAAAACATTATTGATCACCAAAAATATTTAAAAGGTTGTTTCTTGGTATCCTATGAATTATGATATCATTAATATACACACAGCTGCACATAGACACGCATTGGACAAGATAATGATTGATAACAAAGATGGATGAACATTCGTTAGAAACGTGAAAAGCATACAAATATGTTTGTGCATACAAGAAGGTGAGTGACGATATTTTGAGATAATTGGCACATACATTGATGCGTGTTACAAAAGTTAATACACATTGAAGGAATTAACGGAGTAGTGGAAAGGTTAAGACCTGAAGAATGAGAAGATAGAAACAGAGAACCTGATGAGGGCTTCAAAGGGTGAATTCTTTGCCACGAGAGAAAGAGAAGAGGGAGTGAAGAAAATATAATGCATAAGGGTGTAAACAAAGGAAACACTCGCTGCAGTTAAAACGTGACCAAGTTATACAACACCAGTGAGTTGCCCAAGTTCGTGAAATTGACCCCGAGTTTAACTCACTAGAAAATCATTAGAAGAGGTCATTTTAATCTTCTTTTTTTAAATCAAACTTTGGGTTTACATAATAATAAAATATTTAAAATGATTTTAAGAGTGTTTTTTAAATTGCAAGTTTTAAAAATGAACAAAATATTGTTTCTTAGGAGTGTATATACTTATTGTGATTATACATTAGTTTCTAAAATTAAAAAATAGATCGATTTCTAAGTTCTTTAATTATTTAAGTTTTTAAACTCAGTTATTTATTCTTAAAAAGTATTAATATTAAATTTAGTGTTTAGAAACTAAAATCATATTAAAAAACTCATATTAACCATACATATTTAGTGTTTAGAAACTAAAATCATAATTTTTTAAAATTTTGAGAGACTACAAATGAATTGTTAAAAATTATTATTTTGAAGTTAAGGCAAATACTAAGAATTTTCTTAATTTTAAAAATAATTTTGATATTTTTGTACAGTTTTAGGATTAAAATGGTGATTTATTTTTAAAATACAAACTTAATTAGATTTTATCCTAAATTAAATATTATAAATGATGTAATTGGGTAAAAAAAGTAATCACAAAATGAAAAGTGTACAAATTAATATATATATATATATATATATATATATATATATATATTGTAGTCATTTTAATTTTAATAAGAGTATTATTTCTTAGCTTTTAATAAGAATATGTAATAAATATGATAAAAATACTTTGATAAATGAGTCATTTGTCTCCATTTTCTTGATCAATTTCACTATTCTCTTGGGGAGAAAGGAAAAATGAAGAAGAAAATGATTTTTTATTTATTTATCAAAGTTACTCATTTTTCCAAGGATGGCAATGCAAGAAGTGGAAGGGATTTGGAGTTATGGTTGATCAATGTTAAGATTTGGAGAAACATGGTTTGGTGCAAAAACATATGAACAATATGATGTTATTGTTTACAACATTTAGTTATTTCGAATTTTCAAAGTTGTCTAATTGCAAATTAAAATACATGCATTTAGTTTTCTTACTACTCATGTTCCTCTTCATATTTTATTTGTTCAAGAAAAAATGACAAATAAAACTCTTTTATATACATTTTTAAAAAAATATATAAACATACAATTTGATTCAAAATTATACATTTCATTATATTAAATAAATAATATATGGTTTTACTTAAATTTAAAAAGACTACCATGTTTTTCATGTTATGATTAAATATCGTTGTCCCAAATAAAAACTTTACATTTAGTTTTGTTCTTTAGCTATATACAAACCTTTTGTTTAAACTAGTATTGAGCATGGTACAAATTAAATATTAATTTTTTACATATTTTATAGTTATGATCCTTCGGTAATAAACATTTTTTAAAATTAAATTACAGTATGATTAAAGTTTATGATAAACAAATATTTTTTTTAAATATAAATTATATTTTAAATTTATAACAAATAATTTAAATTGTGATACAAGTTTATTACCAAATTATTGTGTATAAGTAAATTTTGAAAAATAGAAACTTGTAAGTTCATTCATATCATCATCACACACCGTGCATACATAATAATTTACTCAAGTTTTAGACAATGAGATGTATTAGATGAATGATTCGACCCTATATTTTACTACAATTTAGACCATTCTTGAAAAATAATTAGAATTTGGGTTGATATATTTTTAAAAAACAATTAAAGATAAATTAGAAAGGTTTAAAAGAGAAATTTTTAAGAGGAAAGTTTTAAAAATAGTAAAGGATCATTTTCTACATGTGTAAACGATATATTATTTCTAAAATTAAAATAATTTTAATTTTTTAATTAAATTTTTTAAATTAAATTATATTGACATTTTAGTTGCTAGATATGTACAATCACATACTAGACCTTACCTACACTTAGATAAATGCTATATAATGATTTGGAAGTCATTGGATTGTAACATTATTAAGTTAATTAAAGCAACTACTATTCATATTATTATTAATAATAATATTAATTATATTATTATTTTTTCGTACATTTAAGATTTATAATTTGAAATTTGAAAATATTATTGTAAATATCAAATTTATCTCTAGAGATTAAAGAGTGAAGATTGCAACCTTATTCTCTCATATTTTACTCGATCTCATAAGAATAAATATTATCACAGAGGCGTAAATGCATTTCTTTTTTTTTTCACTTCTATTTTCGAAATAGAAACTAAAAATATCATATTTTTTTTATATACAACTAATTTATATAAACTCCTGGATGTTTAGAATTTTAATTAATAAAAATAATGACCTTTTTATATAACAATTTAATTTAATAATTTATATATACAAAAAATTTAAAATTCTTTATACTTAATATATATAACAATGGTTAAAATGAATGAAAAAGTAACATTTTAATATATACTAAAAAAAATAACATGTTTGTAATTAATTATAAAAATTAATAGTATACTAAAAATAGAATACTTTAAATTAATATTAAAATTATTTTTATCTCCTTAGATAAAGTCGAAAATATTCATTATCTCCTGTAATTGAGCATATTCATATATTGTTAATATTTTGTTACATTTTTTATCAAAAATATATATTATTTTATTTGTTGAGATAATATTAAGTATTTATCGAAACACGTTAAATATTTTGAGAAAAAAACTAATGTTCTAATATCTCTTTTGTATTTTTAAAAAATTTTGTAAGCCAACCTTGATAAACAATTTTTTTAGAAGTTATAATATTAATTATATAATTATCTTAATAGTTTAAATTATTAGTCACGTAATATTGTTAAAAAATTAAAACCACTAAAAAAATGTTAAAAAAAGTTGTCAAAAAATAAAAAATAAATTTTATAAAAAAGTAATAATAAAAAAATATAATTTATCACGTAATATACTTATAAATATTGCGTGACAGTTAGGAAAATCATATCATCATTTTATCCTAATTTATAATGACAAAAACTAAATGTTAAAGAAAAATTCAGGATATAAGATAAGCCAAATATTTATTTTGGGATTAAAATTTAAATTTTAAGAAAGGAAGAATATATTTTGATAAAAGTTTAGTTTGAAGATAAAATTTATTATTTTATGTTTTTTAAATTATGGCTAAATATACTTACTTAATTCTTTACACATTCTTTCTTCCTAATTTTCAAAACTTACACATTTTACTCTACTAGACTAAGAAAAATATATAATTATTTATTTTAAGTTAAACTTTATAAGTTTATAAAATGTATGGATTTAATATAAGGTTATATTAAATTTTAAAAACTCCGTTCATTTTATATATATATTTCATAAATTTACGTATAATTCTAAAAAAATCAAATTTAAATTAGATATTTTAATTCTAAATACATATTTAAAATAATTTAGAATTTTATAAATTAAATTGAATTTTAAATTCAAATTCATTCTTTTTAATAATTATTTTTGTGTCTTTAGTTTAAAAAACATGATTTTACAATTTTTAATATATTGTTTTTTTTTTAAATTAGAGTGCATAACATGTTATCTTTTTATATGTTAAAAATTATAATTTTATAAATGATATTTATATAATTTTATTATAAAATATTTAAAATAATGAAGGTAAAAACTCCTATTTTTAATAGTTCGTAGGAATTAAACACAAAATTTTGCAAATAAATCTTCAAAATAATTTAGAATTGTTTTAAAATTCAAATAATTGAATTGAGTTTTAAATTTACATTCATATTTTATAAAGTTACATTGAGTTTTAAATTTAATATATATTTGGAATTGAGTTTTAAATTTAATATATTTTTTTTCATGCAATTTTCTCCTTATAAATACAACAAAGTTGCATTATTGGAATCTTCTCGTCACATTCAAATATTTCACTTTATGAGGATAAATATTATAATATAAAAAAAACTAATTTAACTCTTTGAAATTTTTTCATAAAATAGCACGTTCAAAACTATTTTAAAAAAATAGTATGTTGAATAATTAAAATAGAAGTGATGAATTAGATATTTTATGATTTGATTTATATAGTAGCTAGTTTATAGAAAGTGAATCTTGTATTTTTCAATTTTTAAAATCCATATAAAAAAAATGAAAATTAGATTGAGTAGCTTATAAAATTTAAACTTGAATAAAAATTAAATTAAATTGATTGACTGTAATAGATGAAATGAATTAAGTAATAGAGCAGCTTAAGTGGTAAAAAGGTGAGTCTAAAATTTACAAGACAATAAATCCATATTGGAATCAGAGGAAGCTTTGGATGACAAATAACAGCTTTTGTTTTTTTGACTAAAAAATCATTTAAACAAAAGATATATATATATATATATATATATATATATATATATATACATTTTTTAATTTAAAAGTGTAAATTTTTCAATTTTTTAAATTCTATTTTTTTAAATTGAATATTTTAATTATTTTCAAATAAAATATTATTATCATCATTTGAGTTAAAATAAAATACAGAAGATCAAATATATTATTTAATAATGAATTGTTTTGGGTGTAGACAAATTATAATTGAGTATGATAAATGATGAAAATTTAAGTGAGTTTAAAGTTTCTATCTAATAAGATTTTTGATTGAAAATAATGTAATATTTTCTTATAATATTGACTTATAATTCATTTGAGAATCCCTTATTATTAGTCTATCGAAAAGACTTAATAACAATTTAAATAAATCTAACCAAAATACGAAAAATTAGATTAACTTAAAATAAGTCAAATTAAATTAAAATGAGTTACAATGAATTTCACTGTACTTGAATAAGTTTGACAAAATAGTTTAATATACCATTAGTTCAAATAAAAAGAAGATATTTTTTATAAACTTAATCAAAGAAAAAAATATAAATAAAAAAATACATCTAAAAAAAATATAAAAATCTCAAATTCTTAAAATAGGAATAATTTTTTTTTATTTTAGATGATTTAAGTATTATAAAATTTTAATTTCTTTAATATATATATATATAAGTAAAATAATAACATTTAAATTTTTTTATTCAAAGAAATTATTCCTTCAGTAAATTCTTCTTACAAATCAAAGGACGAGGGAGAAAGGAAACATGAAACTTTTCTACGACATATTTTAAGTTTTATTTTTGTTCATGGTTAACTTTTTATCAGGATAATATTTCTTTTATGAGAGGATGCGAAGATGAAGTAGTTAAGGGATACATATATTATTTAACTATTATTTTAAAAACCTTTTTTATATTAGGAAATTCTATAAATAAATAAAATTTATTTATTTATTTATTTATCTCTCAAAATAAAATAATTTGATTCAAAATTTAAATTTTTAAATTAAAAAAATTATAATATAATCAAATTATTTACTATATCTAAATATAATATAGTATATTTAAATTAAACATCATCTAATATATATATATATATATATATATATATATATATTTAAAACTATATTATAATTTAAAATCATTTTATTTATGATATATTAATATATAAAAATAGATAATAAATTTATAAAATAATTACAATTATATAAGAAAAAATTATTTTTATTTGATAAATTTTTATTATAATATATTTAATAATAACAAAATTCGTAAAAATTAATTAAAATTAAATAAAAAATAATTTCATTGATTCATATTTTTTATTAAATTTAAAATTAATCAAGTTAAATTATATTTAACTTTTATATTTAATGCAAATAACAATTTAATAAAAAAATGAAATATCCTAATATTTACTCTTTATGCACAGTGTGGGCGCCGAGGCTATCAAGAGTTGGTTTTATACTGGGCTTTTTATTTTCAAGGCCGTTAAAGGACTAAAGGCCCATGTCAGAAATAGCCATTATCTCTTATAAATATACTCATATTCTCTTCAATGTTAAAATATAAACTTTTAAAACACTTACCAATATACAAATTATATTAATATAATAATAATAACAATAATAATAATAATAATAATAATAATAATAATTAATATTATTATATTAATATAATAGCTTCTCAATTGAATGTATTTTTTCAATTGTTATCCAAAAGTTACTTTTAGAACAACGACTTAAAAGAAAGGTTGAATTTATATAAAGTAAAGTACGAGAAGTATATTAAAATTTAAAATTAAGAAAAAAATCTACTATATCTCCTAAAGTTATATTAAATAACATTTACACTTTGAATTTCAAAATAAATATTTAATGATTTTAATAAAATGATACCAATCTAACTTTTAAATAGATATAATTTTTCATAAATGAGAGTTATTGTTCCTATATTTTTAATGTGGCATCTGTAACACTTATTTTGATTTATAAGAAAATACATTTTTCATTCTTTATAAATTTTTATTTTTTTGTACTTTGATTAATATGTTATTCTTCAATAAAATCAGTAAAAAATATTGTCACTTTGACCAATAAATTTAAAACAGATGTAAAACAGTGTTGTATATAATATTATATGCATTCAAAAGTAATCGATTAAAATTAAAATGATAAGATGTAACCGAACCTATTCATATCTGCATCATCATAGTGTTGAGAATCTAAGTATCGATTGGGTTTTTTTTGTTAATATTAAACACAGAGAGTTCTAGAATTTGATAAAGAATAAGAACCAACGAATTCGAATGTATAAAAGAAGAAATGCTATTGCCACAAAAGATTGCGAAAAACATAATTTAAGATAAAGCAAAAGGTACTATAAAACATTATGGTACGTAAAGAGTTCTTTTTAGATATGTTTAGGTCGGATCTGTCCCAGAAGAAGAAAATGCAGTAATGTGCTCCACTTATGTGAACAATAACATTATATTATTCTCCAATAACTAAATTAAAGTGTGGATAAAAAATGGTTGTGGGACCAACTGTACCTTAACTAATAAACCTTTGATTCTAAAACAGAAAAAAACGAATAGTAGCACTCGTCTCAGATGTAGGATGTGTGATTTACGAGTGTGCCACTCACCTTTATGCCCACCCAAAATAGAAAGTAATCAATGCCGAATTGTTTATTTTTAAGCAGATTTTCCCAGGAAAACTGCAATCGCATACATATGCCACTTAATCATGCATGCCACGGCTTTCATAGTTTTAAATTTTAGTTCGTTTTGTTTTGCTCGTAGAGTCTACTGACTTATTTTTAAAAAGGAAAGAAATATTTTGATATTACGATTTGTATAAACATCTAATATATAACTTATTATAATATTATAACAATAATTTTAAATTATTTTTATTTAAATATTATTATTATTATATTAATAAAAATAGATTGTTTGAGAGATGTTTATTTTACAGCAATGTCAATGTAAACATCTCTTAATATATATATATATATATATATATATATATATATATATTAAAATTATAATTAAAAATATTATATTTTATATATAAATATATTATTATAATAAATTTAAATTATAAAAATTAATCAATTAAGTTTAAATTATTAATTATAATTAATTGTTTTAATATATAAATATAATAATTTTTTAATTTATCTAATAAAAATATTAATTAATAAATAAAAACTTAAAAATTATTTATATAATTAAAGATATATTTTAAAAAATACATATAAAAAATTTTGTATACTCCATCAATTTTATTTTTTATGGGATAGATCGAATATGTAACTTGTCATGGAAGTAAACTCTTCCCTTCCATTTTTAACAAAGATAAACAAATTATTCCATTTTATTATATTTATTCATGTATCATCCTTTCATTATTTGAAATCATTTTCTTCGTTCCTTTCAACTTTATAGAAATTTTTTCCCCTGAGTTATTATACATGGGACATATATAAGAATCATAGTTTTCAGTATTTAAAAAACATAATAAATAAAAATTTGTATAATTTATGAATGGCTAATATTAAAAAATAATTATTAACATATGATTACTTAAAATCATTATGCGTGTTTATCTTAAATCTTATCATTAAAATAAGATTTCATGATATATATATATATATATATATATATATATATATATATATATATATATATATATATATATATATTATAGAAAGAGGAAATATTATTAAATACAAATACCTAATCTAACAAGTTGTATATGTGCTTTAAAAAACACAAGTTGTAAATGATGATTTGTCTATTTAGTTATTTGTAGAATACGTATGTTTTGTACTTGTATATATGCAAAAAAAGTTAGAGACAATTTTGTTGTTTAAAAACTGCTCTATACATCAGCTATAAATAAATTGTTAATTTATAATTTAGATGATATAATTTTTTTAATAAAATAAATGTTAAATATTTTAATGTATGCTGGGAAAATATTTCAACTAGCTTTTAATTTTTTTTATTATCTAAAAAAGTTGCTTGACTATATTAGCAGTGTTTATTAAACAAAATTATTTTAAGTAATGTTTTACCTTTTATTTTCTAACTTTATATATTTTATTATCTTTTTATGCTTAAAACATTTATTAAATTTAATTTTTAACTTTTTTTTATATAAAGTAGGATTCTATTATTTTTTTTCATGCTTTTATTATTTATATTTAAGTTTGATTGGATTATTTTAAGTAATAATATACAATTAATGAAGAAAATTAGAAATTAGAATTAAAACAACAATTAATCTTTAATAACAAAAAGCTACAACAGTTTAAAATGAACTAAAAGAAACTACATTTTAATTATCAAAAATACTTTTTCCTTAAAGCTATGAGTTAAATTTATATAAAATTTTCAAATAAGCCTATTTGTTTCTGTAATTTTATATTTATTAAACAAATAGACAGATAATTTATCTAAATTCAATAATTTATTAGATAAGTTTCAATTAGTAGTTAATTTTTCCATTTCCATTTAGTTTTTCAACTTTCAACTTAATTTGGTAAAGATATCCCAAAGACAAATTTTATGGTCAGAAAAAAGAAGAAAAAAAACATCACTACACGCGTAAAATGTATTCATCTTTCACTAATCAAGATGTTATTATTCCTCTCTAACATGATTTATGGCCATATTTTTATGAAAAAACCTAACTAAATCCGTTAATATGTTGCGTTACAAAAAACATACCAGCATTTTCACATGTGACATTGGTATCGTGTTTCACAAAATATTGCCTTCAGTTACACAAACATGTGTAGATAATGTATTTAAAACATTTGAAGTTTGTTCATAGATGGATCAAAATCTAAGGGGTGTGTGTGGATCTTTCTGATTTTAGGAAATGGATCAGGAGGAGCAAGATAGAGCGTTGCCCATTGCAAATGTGGGTAGAATCATGAAGCAAATTCTTCCTCCCAGTGCAAAGATCTCCAAGGAAGGGAAACAACTAATGCAAGAGTGTGTGACAGAGTTCATAAGTTTTGTGACTGGTGAGGCATCTGACAAGTGTCACAAGGAGAATCGCAAGACCGTTAATGGGGATGACATCTGTTGGGCTCTAAGTTCCTTAGGGTTCGACAACTATTCTGAGGCCATAGCCAGGTACTTGCATAAATACAGGATAGCTGAAAGGGAGGAGAAAATGAATCACAACAAAAAATATGAAGGATCAGCAACAAAGACTCTCAACCAAACTCAACTCATCCATGCTCCACCACCATCACTCTCTAGGGTTACTGACATGGTTGAAAACCCTCCCACCACAAATCAATCTGGATGAATACATAGTTTCTGTGTCTTTCTGAAGATCGAACAAGGTGATGACAAGAAGAACCCTTCTAATTTTGTTGCATATTGTGAGGTAATTTTGTAACTACACATCTGGTCAAATAAGGGAACTTCCCCTTCTGTCGTTTTCAAATAGTGTATTGAGCTTCTGTAATGTTGTATATTAACTATATGGGTATTGATTAAGCATAGTAGCTCTAAATTTCTACGATAATTTTTTATAAAAATGATCTGATATAGCATGTGTGTGGACGATAGAACTGGGCGAGGCCGGTTTGCAGAAGGTAATTACTTCCAAATGAACACCAGATTTCTTATGTTCAATATCATATTCAAGACTCAAGGGGAAAGTTTTGTAAGATTTAGGGTCAATGAATTTAGTTTCTAGCTAGATCCAGCTTATATTGCTAGGTATTAGTTAATTACCAGTTATCATTTTCATTTGTCTGAAAATGGATGTTTTGAAATGGATTGAAAGGACAAGTATACGTACTCACTTCATAAATGAAATTCTTCTCATCTCTGTAAGTTTCTTTTTTATCATCTCTTGCATTTTGGCACTTTAACACTCCCCATTTTTTCTGGTTAATGAGTTAATTGATCAGTGATACTCCAATCCATATAATTGCTCCAGAATTAATCACAACCTTCCTGAGTGATGCAGTACTATAGTGACGTTAATAATTTAGCACATTCGCAAACTGTTAATACAGAGCGTATTTAGTAGTTCAGTTTTGAGGCTTTGAGCAGTTCTTTAAACATACCAAAATCCGCGCGGTCAACATTTCCTTTCTACGTCTACCATGTGTAGTGAATGAAGATGTTTATCAGTTCAGTTATTCTTGTGATTGATCCCCAACTTCTCCTTAACTGAGATATTATACATTATGAATTATTAAATAGACTACATACTCTTGGCACAATAAGGGTTTAACCGCAGGAGAACCTCACGTTTGTAACCCAAATGCAGGTAAAAAACTTTAGCCAGTAACAGTAAAAAGGCTACACATAAAATAATCTGGGACATACATGTACTAGGTTTTGATTTTCTAACCCTAGAACCGGGACCACTATCTCGTTGCTTTACATGTGCATAATTAACCGTGAAAATCGAATCATATCTCAGGCATGCCTGCATTCTACTATATTTCAAATGAACTATAAGGACATTGTCCCATTAAAGTTGACAGTAAATTCCTTCTCAATTTTAACTTCTGTCAGAATTAGGGTTTCAGCAATGCCCTGAGATTTTCACACAAGCCCTTGGGACCACTTCTCAACTACAATTACCTTAATGGATTATACTCTCTCTCTCTCTCTCCCTATTTCCTCTCTCTCTGACACACACAAAAAGAAAATAAACTTCACCACTAACTGAGAGAAACATGTTTCCCGTCTGAGAAAGTCAGAACTAACCATAGGGGGAGATCGTGATGTTAACTTTTAACATTACACATTTTATATTAAGGGATAAAAACCGCAAAACCAAAGAGATTACAGACTAGTTTAGAATTAATATTGTGAAGGTTCAGAAACCGCAAAACTTTTTGGACTATCCATAACAATGCAATGATGTAGTTGACCAATTTACTTTGAAAACAGTAATCATCACTGAGACTACGTATACATACCACCAGGGCTGCAACACTAAGATATGGCTTGATTTCTTGATAAAATAACTGCATACATTAAAATTTGTAACCGGTTATGAATGAAGGGATGATTTGCACAGTTGAAAACTTCGAAATGAACAGTGTTCCCATGGGCTCCGACCACGAAATTGCGGCATCGAGATTCATACCCTTGCTGCATAGCATTCCTTTTGAGGGAGTGGGGACTGACAATTATCAACCAATATGGCAAACAGCGTCAGATGTGCCTTTTTTTCAGGATCATGGGGGTTGTAGTCCATATAAGTTGCAGAACCTCAACAACTCAAAAACCTAATCTTAAATTATATATTTATAGTCTCATATGCCTGTCTTAATTTTTCAAGTAAGATTTATATTTACTGGGTAACTTAATGAATTTTTAAGCATGATATAATGGCCTTCAACAACTTGAAGCACATTCTCAAAATATTAATGTTCCATGCAGGAACTCTGAAATTAGATTGTTAAAAAGCTTTAACATTAGAGGAAATATATGAATCTCAGTTATGAATTCTTATGGTTACTTCATCAGAACATGTTAATTAGTTTCACCAAAACTTCAAGCTGAAAGCTTCTAATGTTCGAATTATGCTTTAAGGAGAGGTCAATGAGCTATATGGTATTTTAAGCCTGATTCTGAATGTCCCTTCTCTTCCATCTATCTCCTCATCTATGGGTAAACGAGTCTCTTTTCACGTTATGATAAATTGTTCATGTGCTGCTGTAACCAGTGTGATCATTGTCATTTGGTATATGTGTTTAAAAGTTCAGTACTAAATGTTTAATTTCATACTAATAATTTTTGCACAATGATATGAATTCAGTTAATAAAGCTTTGATGTATACTCATGTAAAGAGAAATTGGAGAAGGGTTATTGTTCTTTGTTTTAATTTGAATCATATGACTACTCCGAAATCAGTATCTGTGAGTTGGTGTCTTGACATTATCTTATTCTGTTTGAGGCTTAACATAAGTGAACCGCGTAACCTTTTCGCAACCAGATAATTTTGAAACCAATCAAAGTTAAGTAGTAATAACTATAACTGAAGGTTCAATCAGATTAAAATAGAAGAAGAAAGAAATCATTTCCAAAAGAAGTTAAATATAATTGCAGAGATAGATGAATGTCGGAAACAAATATTTTGCTTATATTAACTCCTCAGTAACTATTGATGCCATTTACAATTAAAGCCAACTGAGAAGACAAATCTTCATAAATATAGGGGATACAAACGGAGGAAGAAGAACTGAGTACTTTTGTCAATAAAGAACCTAAGTTAGTGATCATAATTTCTTATTGGTGACTTTTCTTCAGCAAATCTTCACATGTTTTTCATCAAATTTCAGCACTTTAGATTCCCTTCATCTCATTCCAATCATCTGATTCTAACGTCAGTTAGATTCGAAGAAATTTCGCAAACATATTTAATAGATCTAAAGTGGAAAATTTTAGAATTGATGTTATCATAACGAAATCAAACTAAAACATTTTTTATTTCTAGACGAAAAGAGATTTTTAAACTATAAAGAAAGGAGAGGATGATAATTATATATTTAATATTATGTGTATATTCTAAAACTTAATTAAATGTAACATGTGTATTATATTCATAGACACACATTTATTGAATCTAAGCACTAGCTAGTTAATATCTAATCTATAACAATAATTAGTAATGAGGAAGGAGAAAAGTGGAAGAGAGGAGAGGAAGGACTTATACTCGCACTTTGATTGATGCCTGAGATATGGGTATAATAGTTGAAAGATTTTCATTTTTTAAGTGAGAAATAACTAATAATAAAATAATTTTATATAAGGGTTATTAAACTGTGTTTTTTTGTTAACTTTGTAAAGTGAACCACTTTTAAGTGAGTAAAAAATATTACATTAAAGAAGATACACAGGTAAAAAAATATGAAATATTATATTGTTGATAGGTTTAAATAAAATTGTTATGCTAGAAACATGTATTTTAACTAAGAAATGGTAAAATAATTCTGTGAAAATTTGCTTACGTCATTGTATAACCTTAGTTTCAATTAATATACATTTGATAAAATATTTAATGCATAGAAACTAGAAAATAAATTTATAAAAAGATTATTAGAGTTTAAGAGCAAGTTATATTCCACCTTGGGTAGAATATAAGTTTTTGAGTGTTAAAAAAATCACGTTATGATTTATAAAAAGTTATATGTTATTAAAAGTATACAAATCTTAATGAATTGATTTTTTAAGATACACATCCCCATTCAAACACTTTAGATATGCCTAAATGGTTCTTCTTCTTCTACTACACTTTTCTTTCTTAATCTCTCTTTATTGAAGGCGATACAGACATCACATGATTTTTTTTAAGAATATGGTTAAGATGAATTTTCGATTAAACATATAGGCAAATTATCATTTTAAATATGACTAGGTAGTGAAGGTCATAGTTTTAAACTTATTCCACAAACCCAAAAAAAAAAAAATATATTAATGCATAACAAAAATCGAATTGATTATTAAAAGATGAAAAGTGTTATGTTACTTTTACTTTTCTTTGTTCAAATCATGCTATTTTTATTATTTTTTATTGTCTTTTATAATCTTATAAAAATTCTCGAAATTATTTCAAATCTTATAGATTTATTATAATAAAAATATTATAAATTCATAACAAAACTAAATGTTAATTTTGATTATATATATATATATATATATATATATATATATATATATATATATCAGTTAAGTCATAAAATTTTATGTAGTTTTTTTAAATGTGAATGATTTTTTATATTAAAGATTTTTTTCTTAAATATAAGTCTGTCAGAAATAAAAATTAGTTAGGGATTAAAGTTACCCATATTGAAAAGCTGGTCATTCACAATCTAACAGCATTTTTACTGAGATGACGAGAGAGAACAATTAAAACATTAATGTTTAGGAAAATATTAACTTACACTGTTTTTTTTTTCCAAACACTTGATAAACACCTCTCTAACAATCTAACATAAAAGGAACAAACAAGAGAAAAATAAAATAAAACAGTGTAGCAGTGCACCAGAAAAAGAAGCTGATGTTATTTGAAAAAGAATGATTGTGTATATTAAAAAAAAGGAAAAGTATATATATTTCTCAAATTGGAACATTTATATGGAACAACTAAAATAGACGCATCAGTTTATCAGCCTTTCTCAAATTGGAAATAGATATTTCTCATTCTCAACTTAGAGTACATATATGCTTGAAGGTAGCGGGAGGTAAGAACTTGGTAAAAATATCATGAGCTAATGAGAGGAAGATATACGAAAAAGTTTGATCAAACCGTTGTTGAGTTTTTATCTGATAAT